TAATAATTTATTGTCTATACTAATAAACAAGTAGTAACAATAATAATTTAGGACCGAACACGAAGCAGAAGAACATTTCATAAAACACGATGTATAATAGTATTAATAATAAAATTAGCACCTCACAGCTGTTCTTTATTATCACGAATTATGATTAAATGCCTCCGAATGTTTTTATCTATCTCTGTCAACAACTAGTCACGAGCACATCCATGGAAACAATCATCATCATCATCCTTTCCTAGTCCAAAATCTACTTCTACACTTTTTTTAAATGAAATATTTAAAATCAATCAACTGAACCAATTGACTAACAATTATCCTTATTATTGGATTAAAACAAGAAGCACACGTATATTTCTGGCGATAATGCCAATTGTCTTTGTTAGCCTTTCCATTTTCTCACAAATTATATGAGACAAAGTAAGGAATGATGAATCAAAAAATAAGGAAAAATTATAAATTAATTTGTCGGGAGCACCGACACCAAAATAATAATTATAATCACGATGATCACCAATATTAGGCAAATAATGATGAAAATCAACTTCTGCAATAAGAAAAATAGAATGTTAGTGAAAAAATCAATAAGAAAAAATCGAATTAAAAACAATAAATATAGAACAAAAGAATGAGATGATACGGATAAATCGGATAAATGAAATAACTGAGGAACTGATACAGGAAAATAAACAAAAAACAAAATTTTAAGTGAAAGTGCAAAAAGCAATTGTAATAGAACAATGTGTTCAAAATAAAAGAAAAAGCTCTAAGGATTTAACACAAAAAATAAGACTTCAACAAGAAAACAATTAAGGATTTAAGACTACATAACTCTACGCCAATGTGTAAAAATAGAAAACAAATATTATTCAGAATAGTTATAGGGTGATCGTAAAAAAAACAAAACTAAACAAAATACCCTACATGTGCATTTACGAGTATGTGTACCAGTGAAAGACTAAAAAAAATGCTAATAATTACTTCAACTCAGTTTATTTTTAACAAACTGCAATAAATTTTTAAACTGCATTTTTTGAACTTAATAAAATAAACA